CATTTAAAAATGCATGGGATTGTTTCATTCAAAATAAAATTATATCTAGCAAGACGTGGTAAAAGATATCAAGTTGAAACTGTGTACATAAATTTACAGGTTTGGAAAACTTTTAAGAATAATTCTTAAAAAAAAAAGAAGATCTATTCACATTAGATTTAATGAATATGCTTTCTGTGCATCTGACTTTAAACAATATTTAGAATCAAGATCTAATCAATTAGTAGTTTTTTTTTAATGTTCAGCAAGCAACAGCAGCGGCCAATACAGAAAAGGAAGACTATTCCAACCTTGAGATGCAGGGTGGAAACAATAACATGATCAATTATAAACGTCAGGTGTTTGTTACCATTTGAAGCCCCCACAGGCTGAGTGGTGGGTGCAGAGGGGGGTTCAGTCACCACAGTGGAAGCCTCAGATAAAGTCTGTGTCGTGGTTACATTGGAGTCCAGAGTGGAGTTCACACTGACCCCCTCACTGGTGCCCACACTAGTGGACTCTTCTGTACCACCAGAGGGGGAAGGGGTCACTGAGCTCAAAGGTCCCCCATTTGTGATGCTGGAGGTCACGGCTGAAGTGACCCCTGGGTCTGTGGCTGCGTCAGCCAAACGTCCACACAAGATCAATATCTGAACCGAAAACCACAGGCGGGAATTCATCTCGTCGATCCAAAATAACTAATCCTCAACAGGGTGACCCGTGAACGATATGATAAACAACACTAAAATAGCTATTAGTAAAAAATTAGCCATGGATATTTTAACATAAACATGCTACAGTCTTTGTGCTAAACATTAATGGCCCGAACCAGCAAGCTTCTTGTTGCCAAGGAAGTTGTCACGCTGGCTTCCGTTTCCAACATACTATTACCGTAAAACATGTAAAAGACAGTCACACCCCTCTTTTTTTTTTTTTTTACCAAAAATGTTTCAGTTAAGAAGGCGGTGAGGAGAGAGAGCTTAAAGATCATTTAATATATTTGTTTGTTCTCATTTACAAAATATGTTTTGACTTTTGGAAAAAAAAAGTAATTTAAAAATGAATTGTAAAATGCAACAAAACATGTTTATTTTTCTTTGATTATATTTTATGTTTCTATTTTCTGCAGATGTAATACCAACTGGCACTAACTTAAGGGAGTTATTTCTATTTAAATAAATTCCAGAGGTGTAAAATGGACTGATATTTACTCACTGCAGAAATAACAATGATCACAGGTCAATTTTTAGACACCAATCTGTAGATATTTTCCCCCTCAATTAGCATGTGAGGATGGATTGTCAGTGGGTGAATGTATCATACAATTTAGCTTGAACTGTCTGTAAAGCAAATAGAATTAGACTGAATTTGAGCTATATCCAAAATGTCTGTTAATAAGACATGTGCAAATAAATTAAAGAACATTTCTGCAAGCTGAATTCCACACCCGGATATCTGTTCTCCATGCATCACCACCAAGCCCTCATCTGTGAATTCCTATCTGTGCTCATGCAGTAATAACTATCCATTCATACACTGGTCTTTGCCTTTGTATGATGGTCCAGAGATACAGCTTTTAATTTTGACTTTATTTGAGGGGATATTTGAGCTAAGCTGTTTCCAAATCACTCCCAAAGTCTTCTGCACAGTACCCAACCCCTACTCACTAGCCCTTTTGTGCCACTAAATTCTTGTGCATCTTCCAACAAAATCTGACCTCTTAGAACTTAAAAAATAATACAAAAATCTGTGGGTAGTAAGCTATTGACTCAAGAACTAAAACAAGTAATGTTCTGATATTGGACTCTGCAGATCTTTAAGGTGCCCATGCCGCAGTATTTACAGGCACAAATTACTCCCCTTCCAATACTAAACAATTATCTGTTCATTCAAATTACAATCTGAGTGGAGAAAAGCTTCCTAAAGAGTAATTGGGTTTCACAAAATAATGCCTACAACAAATGCCTCATCAGATTACTTCAGCATACATTTGTGTAAATCTGCATTCAATCTCTTTCTCTGATCATGTGTGAAGGAGATTAAAGCAGCACACAAACACTGCAAGGACAACCTGGTGAGCTACTTCCACTTTGACCCCATGAGCCTGACATATAGCCTGAACCAGGGACCTTGGTTGGGGGACACGAGGAGAATGCATAAAATCAATAGCATAGCAGGAAACATATAATCCCTTGATGATGGAACCATTGGATAAATGAACTAAGAAGTCTTGCCCTCACTGTTTCCTCCTGACATACTTAGTATGCCTCAGTGGCTGTGATGAGATTAGCAGCAGGCTGCAGGCTGCACTGAATGCCAATCAGAGTGAACAGAATGTCCTTGGAAATCTACAACACACAACAAAGTCATTTTATTGTGTTCCTGGGTTACTTTTTTCGAATAAAGGTAAATAGATCGGTAATTAACTAACTGCCTGTGTCACATAATCATCAACCCAGCAGAAATGCTTTAATATTTCTTAAATTTGGCAGGATTCTTGCAAGATTTGAAGAGATTGCACGAATGATAATTGATTAAGATGAAAAAACTATAAATGCACTAAGTAGAGAGTGGAGAGTAGTAAGATGTTCAAACAGAACCCAGATAGTAAGTTCAATTTTATGTTAATCTTTCAGACCTCAGACCTTCCAGTTTTTAATGCTGGATGTTGTTGATCTACTTCATTTGATAAGCCTATGGAGATACTATAGATGTAAAACTGTATAAAATACATAAATAGATCCATATCATCATCAAATAGATCATCTTAGGCAGACCATCATTGGCTGTTTAAAGTCAATCAAACCCTCATAACACATTTGTGGAGGGCGCGCCACACATATTTTGTGGATACTGTGCAGTGTAGGAAAAGTTACATGTGAACAGACAGCGTAGTGAGAGGCCTGGCTCAATTGTAACTGATGACTCGTGCATTTTGGAGCACAAACACTTAGACTTTTCAAACAAACATCATTTATATTGGTTTACTTATTTGCTGTGCATTTCTATTTCCGCACTTACAAACAGTCTTGCACCAATAATATCTCCATACCTAACCTTAGTTTCCCCAGTGCCAGAGATACACTAAACAGCTGTTTACACAGTAAGTAATACTAAACATGACAAAAAAAACCCAGATCATTACCTGTGAAATGTGTAATGTACCCTTTCAAATCATGTAAACATACAAAAATGAAGTAAAATATATTATAGTACTGCTGCTGCTGCTACTTGTGTAATTGTATTCATGTGAAAAGTGATGGAAGCTGCAGTCTTTGCTCTCCGACCTATCACAAAACTTATTCTTTGCGTCTGTCCCTTAAGTGTCCTAAAATGGGAAAGAGGAGTTTCAGGTATACACTGCTGTGGCCTGGAATCTCCCGCAGGAGGATTTGGGTCTTAGGGAGTTGGTCTCTTTAGATCTTTTTTTAAAGTAGATGATTGGAGGAAGATGTGTCAGACGGTAGATGCTCTGCTGTGTAACTCGATGTTTGTTATAGTGGCTCTGTGTTTTAAGTCTGTAACTCCTCAAAATGTTATCTCTTCTAAGAACTACTGTGGGGTCTTTTTTTTTTTTAAAGGTCAAGAAATTGAAGCCCCGTTATGAATCCAAATCTCTAACTTTCTCAGCCTTTACTTCATTATTAAAGCAAAGATGTGTGTACTCTGTTAGAGCATCTTTACCGTTTGTAGTTTAAAAAAAAGACAAAGGTCTATACAGTATATTCACTATAGGTAACCAGCTGTGCCCTCTGCTGGTTTTCTTGACTACTGCTAAAGAGGCTTCAGTGTCTTCACTGATCTGCTTCTAAAAATCATTGACTTTAATTTGAATAATTCTAATAATCAGGTCAAAGTTGTGAAAAACAAAACAAACTTAGAGATAACTCTGACATATATATTATTATGAGAGTCTGTTTCCCTTTAGTTTTTATGTGATTTAGGTTTCATAAGAAAATAAAGTTGAACTCACATTAAATCATGGGTATACAAAATCAGTGTTAAGACTTCAGTTGTGGTTACAGAACCACACAATGAGTGAACTCACTGCTCGCTTCTACTACTGAAGACTTTACTGCTGTGAGGGAAAAAAAAAACCAAAGACGGCCATGACCTGGAGTTCATTCACTAGACTACTCTTTGTTCATTTTTAATGGTTCCACACTGTTGTTTTATTAATGTGTTTGACTGCTGTTTTGTTCCAAGAAATACTAACTCCTGCATACAAGCATGAAAAAGAAAAAGCTTCAAAATGTGAATTTCTCTTTTATACTTACAGTCAACATTTAGATTCATCGCAATGCCTCTGTGGTTTCTTAAAGATGACTTCCCTGGTGAAACGTTTGGTGTGTCTTACAAATGAAGCATACGACTACAGAGAATAAAATGAATGAAAGTGTGATAGGATAAATGTAGACTGAGGAATTGAAACCTAACCTCATCTAGTTTCAACACTTACTCATTTTCTGCACTTCTTTTCTATATGTATGTACTTCTTATAGTGCAGCATTCCATTAAAGTACATCAGTGACCAGCTCTGCTTATGCATCTTTGAATAAAGCGAGACAGTTATGGATGCATTGATTTGATTCTAAAGCCTAAAAGATCCGCATTACCTTTCATTTATCTGGATTGTTTTCTGCATGTCTACAGACAGCTTTTTTTTCAAACAGCCTTTTGAATTGCAATAGCCTCCTGTCTGTCTGTCTGTTGTTTCAGGCCACTGTGGATTTGAGCTTATTTCCTGTGAAAATATTATTTCTACCTCTGGTGCCGTGGAAATCCTGGAATGTAAAATCTAAACAGCTGCTTCATGCTGAACAGGGCTCACGAGAAACACACGTGATTTTATTATCTCTAAACTGCTCAGCTGCACGTAAAACATCCGAAATGTCTTGTTTGAAGGAAGCCTTTTATCATGTCATCATGGGACAATTGTATTTCCCCTTGTGAAAGTTTGAGTCCAAAGGTGAGTCTCAGCTGGACAGAGAGTTAGCCCAGGTTAGAAAAACTGAAAAAAATCCAGGTCTCACATGTGGAAAATAGTTTTTTTCTCTTCTGTCGAAGAAGTTTTTGAGTAGTTGTGTTTTTCAAACTTTCATTGAATCTCTTTTGTCAGCTTTGTAAAGTTTAGCCTCCCTGCAGTGTGTGTCGAGCTTTCTATGGACCCTCCCTTGTTCCTTCCTCAAATTACACAGGAAGTTATCATAGTGAGCAGAAGTGGAGTTTATACGTAACTGTGAACGTTACATAAAGGCACTTTAGTGCAGGTCTCCTTGTGCAACTTCCACAGATCGCAGACGGACAGGAACCTGGGACAAGCACTCAGACAGCCAGGTTACAAAGATAGAAAGGCGGCAGACCCAAACACATTTTAGAGCGACTGAAGCACTCAGGCTGCAGGAGGGACTTCTGGGAGATTCTTCTTCTTGGGTTTCAGGTGTTGGAGAAAGAAAAGGACTACACCAAAATTCCTGGAGACAAGACAGAGAAAATTAAAGATTTACCTGGATGTGTACGCGGTGATAGTGGGACTGAATTTGAACCAGTTGGCAATTTGGAAGACAAACCCACTGTGAATGTTTGACAGAAGGCCAGCAGAGAGAGGAGCTGCATAAGAGCAAAAAAGAAACACGTCCAGTTTCATCTTCTTTTGGTCCTTGATTGTCTAAAGGACGTTTTCTTAGTGTTAGTCATGTCGCAGAAGGAGGAAGAGTTGACCTATGAAGTGGCCATAGAGAAGGCCACGGCCTCACTCACCCGCTTCCCTCTCATCCCAGTCAGAGGGATTCCTCTCATGAGCTACATCGCCCAGAACTGGGACTCTATCTGGGCTTTCCGTCCGGACCCCTCAGACCTCCTCATCGCCACCTACCCTAAAGCAGGTACACAAAGCTACTTCTGGATGCAGCTTTATTTATTTTTTATTGCCAATATAATATGCAACTTTATTTGTCTTCACATTTTTAACTTTTATGGTGGACTAGGTGTGTGGCTCTGCATCACTTGATATCGTTATTTGCTTTTCACATTCAAAGTTTGCATTTTCATGCCTGCTGCTACTTGTTTGTTAAATAGCAGTTGAATTTGAATTTCTTGCTCATGGCACACTGCACTCTCACTTTAATCACTTTTACGTGGATGCTGGAGCAGCTCTGCTGGGCTTTCATGTTTCATGTTTTATGTATTTATGCACCTTAATGTAAGATGGATTATTTATTGGTGTTGTTTATTTATTTGTATGTTTCTGGCAGTAAACAAATTTCCCTGTGAGGACAATAAAGGTACCTTTGAACTTTGACATAAACAGAATGATGCCTCCTGCTGCACAATATGCATCCATTAAAATGATTTGACCTCGATATATATTTTTCAATGTGTTTTCAACCGTTGTTCCTGTTTACTCTATAACTGAAGAAAAAGATCAGAATATTTCTTAAAGATATATATTTTTGGGCCATTGTACCTTTGTTGGATAGGGCAGCCTAATAGAGACAGGAAATGTTGAGAAGAGAGAGTGTGGGGGGGGCATGCAGCAAAGGGGTGAGGTCGAATTCGAATACATGGCTGCTGCTGCAACGAGGACTAAAGCCACTGTACACAAGGCGCGCAACATACAAACAAAATTAAGCTTAAAAAAGTAGAGATCAACCTGATGAATCATGGGTAAAAAAAAAGGGCTAGAAAAGTACACAAAATAAAAGAAAGGAATCCAAAGAAAAAGAGAGCAATCTAGACAAAAGTTTGTAAAAATGAAGGTCTGGCATTCAAACTGATATAGCCTTTTATGTAGAAATAGTTCCACTAGAACGGGCAATTCTCAGAGAGATGGAAGTTGTGAGCTTCAGCTGCTAACATTTCTGCTCGAGCCTCGCCTGCAGCCTCCAATAGTCAAACTTTTCATATCCTTGTGCACCAACAACAACTGAAGCTGTGTCAGGTTCAGACTTGTTCATCCGCCATGTCTGTTAAACTTTCTCACCATTAAATATCACAGAAAATAGTGCTTAACAAACAGGCTAAAGATGGAGTTATACCGGGGCCATGCTTGAGTATATGATGTAGATGCTGATGAGGAAGTTGTTTTTTCAAGTTTTCAAAGACAAATTCAACAGAATTGTAAAATAAGCTTGTTTTAATGTCACTGCAGTGCATCATGTGGGTTATATGGTTTGAAAATGTCGCGTTCAATTGACTTTACGAGCAATAAAAACATAAACCAGCACACATGCCTGCATTGTTAGTGAGGAGAACTCTTGAACTCGTGACCTTCTAAATTCCAAAGAAAATCACAGGATTCTGCTGGTTGCAGGAGTATTGTCAAACATTATGGTAAAGTTTGTTAAGTAAAAAATAAAATATACAATACTTTTAACAATAAAGCACTGAACATCAGTGCAGGCACAGTTTCCAGCTCTCACACTAACACAATCTCAAAATGTGTCCTTTGGAGTAAGTCTTTAAATGATGAAAAGTCCCTGACAATCATTCACCAGTCCATAATTTTGTGTTTCCTTCAAAGTGTCCAGGAGTAAACTTCATACTTCTGTGAGGAGATAAAGTGAAAAAGACACAATTCCCGTACCTGATTCAACGCATATTCATTGATGTCATTGTATTTGGTTTCTCTGGGACATTAGGGACCACGTGGACTCAGGAGATAGTTGACCTGCTTTTTCACAACGGAGACACTGAGGCCTGCAAACGAGCCCCGACACCCGTCCGCAGTCCTTTCCTGGAGATCTTTTCACCTCCACCTATCCCGTCAGGTGTGTATGATGTGGATATGATTTCATTCATGTGATTGCATTTTGAATTAAGCACATTTGTAAAATACGTTCATAAAATATTGTCAGATTTAGGGCTTGAGTTAAGGCAATTTATTTCCAAAATGTACCGCTCAGAGTGCTTTTTGTGTCGACTAGCTCTAGCTAAAAGGAAAAATCAAGATATTATTTTGAAATGCATCCTCCAACCATGTCTGACTTGCAAATCAAAATTACATTTTTCCATATGAGCCCGTTTCCCTCCACTCTATTCAGGGTCAATGAAATGTTGACTGCAGTTTCTGTTGTTGTAAAAATACAAGTTGTCTTCACTGAAGTTTTCGGTTTAAATTTATCTTGTTGTAGAGAAATACGAAAGAGTTCAAATTAAGATGACAGTTACCCATATCATAATGCCATGCCATTCCCACAGGCTATATTACCTTGAGCCTACTCAGGTTTGTAAGTTCATTTGGAATATTTCATTTTAAAGATGTGTGATAGTTTCTGCTCACTTTGTGCCAGAAAATGTCAAATAAAGCCTCATAATGAGGGGATTTGTGTGCAAATAACTAAAAGATTCTTCAAAAGATTGAGCTCCTTTGTATTTATGTATTCATTTGTTTTGTTTCTGTCTAACTGATGAGAACGCGTGATTCTGTGAGCTAGTTAGATACTAAACTATGAATTCTTCACCAAGTTGTGTGTTTCTGCCGTTTGTGAACTGAAATCTATGAAAGCATGAACACACGTGTTTTCTCCTGAACTTTTGTTCCAGGCCTCGAGCTTCTCGAAAAAATGGATCCCCCGAGAATTATCAAAACACATCTTCCTTTTCAGCTGGTGCCGCCCGGATTTTGGGAAAACAAGTGCAAGGTGAGAAAAGCCTGCATGCGTTTGCTTGCTTCACTCTGAACAACAAATGTTCATTAGGTTCAAGTTTCAGGGGTTGGATGCACATTGATGGTGTTAGTGGTGAACAATACAGTTCCAATATTAGGTCAACCATTCTCTGTATTAATCCTTTTAAACCTCTCCCTCCCTCTCATGTGTAAAGGCTATCTACGTGGCACGCAACGCTAAAGACAATATGGTGAGCTACTTCCACTTTGACGGTATGAACAAGACCCAGCCTGAGCCCGGACCCTGGGAGGGGTATATACACAAGTTCATGAGAGGAGAGTGTGAGTTGATGAAACCACATATTACCTCCAGTCAAACTGGTTATTTGTGTTTGCAGAGTCTGAACCTGAACCAATATTTGTGTGGTTACGTATATTAGCTCCTTTGGTATTGGCATGGAGGTTTTCCTGAGCAAAAATGATGTAAAATATTTATATATGGTTTGTATCTCCCCTTCAAAAAAGGCTCTATGGGACGTGCTGATAGCCGTTATGTTGTGCGCCCATGTACAGAGGCTTTAGTCCTCGTCACAGCGACTGTAGGTTCAAATCTGACTTCAGCCCTTTGCTGCATGTCATTACCTGCTCTCCTCCCAACATGTCCTGACTCTCTTCAGCTGTCCTATCCTATAAAAGCAAAAGGTCCAAAAAAAAACTTAAAAAATATAAAATAAAGGAAACATTCTATAGCTCTTTATGACCTACAGAGAGAAGAGCATTACGACCCTGCTGCACACCTTGATCTCATAATAATTTGCATTGGTAGCCTTTAATTGTTTAATAATACTAATAACTGAAATCAGGGTACAGTGTGAAGTACTTTTTGTTTAACCAATTTGGGATTCAGTGCTCTACAAAATTAGGCCAGATTGATTGATTGATTGATTGATTGATTGATTGATAGTCCATCAAGAAAGCATCATTTAAAATATCAAAACAAGTTGTGAGAAATGGATTTGGGTACAGATTAACCGCAGATTTGTTGGTGAGTTTTCTTTACAAATTAAGGGCAAAGAGATCTACATCTTATCGCCTCGCTGATCTTGTCCCGTACATGTGTATGAAGTGTTTTCTGATTATAAATCTCATGCTGCTTCATTTGAATTGCTGACATTTTCACACGATGTCAATCTTTGCAGAGGAAAAACGCAAACAATGGCTGTTTTCTTACTCCACTCTGTAAATTGCTATGTCTAATCACTACTATTGGTCTCGTTTACTCTTTTTAGGTAATATAGAGGCATCTATGTTGAGTAATGATTATGTAGTCGGATAATGAGTGACAATCGAGAAAAGTAAATGACTTACTAAGTTTAAAAGGTTCTTTGTTGCTAAGTGACTGACCTTAACACTAAGCACAATGTATGGTCTATTTGTGCTCAGTAGACAAATGTCAGTATAAACCTTTTTTACAATGGAGCTAAAGTTTCCACAAAAAAAGGGTTTTAAGGAATTTTGTTTCCACAGTGTCCTGGGGCTCATGGTACGATCATGTGAAAGGTTACTGGGTGGAGAGAGAGAGGAGGAACATCCTCTACATTTTCTATGAAGACATGAAAGAGGTGAGGAAGACTTCTCCAAACGTATGGACTTAATATTACCCAAACTTTCATTCAGCATTCCTAACCTCGCATTTTTCTCCCTCAGAATCCTCGACGGGAGGTGGAGCGCATCATGCGGTACCTGGACCTGTCGCTCTCTGATGAGGTCGTCAGTCGAATCGTGGAGTTCACTTCTTTTAAGAACATGAAGGAGAACCCGATGGCCAACTACTCCTGCATCCCAAAAAGTGTTTTTGATCAGTCTGTCTCTCCGTTCATGAGAAAAGGTGCATCAGTCCACTTTTCTAAACTCACATGGAGGAGGAGAATAATGTGTTGCGTAAATTGCGTATTTTACCCATTATTTTGAATATACATACACAAGTAGCCTAGTTGAATTTAAAATACAACTATAGTCGTTAAGTAGGATGTGTTCTGCTTCTAGCGTTTCTTACAATTAATGACTAAAATATGGACAGTGGGGGGTCCCCAGTCTCTAGCACAGTTATTTTGGGGGTCCCGAGCCGACAAGAGGGAAACAGAGGGTCCAAAGGATCAGGATTGATAAACACTTCACTTGTAGGCCTATATCAATTTACCCAGTACAGTGGCGCCCCCTAGTGGTAACTCTTACATTTCCCATTCATATCAAATCTGTAACTGTTTCCCACTTCTCTTGTGTCTTTAAAAAAACAAAAAACATTTTCAAGCAATAATGTCCTAATTTGCCGGCTGCAGCTTCTCAAATGTAAAAAGGTTTTCTTTTCTTTATTCTGTTGTAGACTTTCTACAAGTTTATCAAACCAAAACCTAACAATATGAAATAATCAGTAAACAATCAAAAGGCAAATAAATAATAAAGTACAGAAGCCAATAGTTGTAGCCATATAGTTATCGACAAGATACACACTTAAAAAACGCTGGGTTAATTTGATAACACAATTGCTGGGTTCAGGCTGCTAGGTCAAAGGCTGGGTCAGTTTGACCCAACATTAGGTTGGAAATAGTGACCCAAGCGCTGAGAGGGTGGCCAGGGGGATGGGATTGCTATAACTGGTTGATTTCTAGGCTTATGAGTTAGACTGTATTACATGTGGCTTATATGCAGTTCAGTTTGCATTTGCTTTGTAGAAGAAACAGCAAATAAAGGCAGTGCTAATAAGGGGACTTTTTCATTCTGTACATGCTTTTAGGGGAAGAATGTATTCACTTTTCTCTCTGCACTGCAGTAACAACAAAGTATATGGTTATTTATTTAAATAACAGTTTTTTTGCCTTCTGCATTTTACCTCTCTACAGGTGAAGTGGGCGATTGGACAAACCATTTCACAGCCGAGCAATCGAAGATGTTTGATGATGATTATGAGAAGCAAATGAAGGGAGCCAACATACCATTCAGGACCCAGATCTAACAGGTTTCATTGGCTTTCCTGAGTTTATTCAGCTCTGCAAACCAATGACTAAATAACTGACTCTTTGCAGTGAAGGAAATATTACATATGCTGTGAATTAAATCAAAATAGTAAATATGAACAATGAATTTGTTGTCATGTCTTAATGTCTGGAAGTTAAACACTTGACATCAATGCACTTTAAAGGATCAATAAAAATGTGCTCCAAAAAAGTCCATGAGTTTGTAATAATCCATTTATTGCAGCTTATCACGTAAACAATATATAAGACCAAAAGTGTTGTGACTGAGTGGACATGCCCATTTTACGTCATGAGACCTCCAACAGAGTCCGCTGAGTGCATGGAGCCTATAGAAAACACCGGCAGCTGCAGGCATGTGGTTTGGTTTGTTTTTGGGTTTTTTTTCATCATTTTGCAACCCTACACCACACTGTGCAGAGCAGGGCCGAAGCAGGGAGGCTGCACGCAAGACACGAGCGACAAAGACTAAAAAGTAATATGCTGGAAAGTCAATCATATGAAAATGGACAGAGGACACAAAAACACAACATCTGAGGAAATCCAAGTTTAACAAAAAATCACTTTTAATACATTCTTTATTTCTTAGCATAAAATCTTAAATACGTTTTGATACATGATTCGTAGAGATACTTCCCTTTGTTTTAAATCGATCTCCTTCCCTACATAGAGGCTATGTTTATGTAGGTTTTTGACAAGTTTTATTAGTTTTTTTTCTGTACGTTTTCCTGTGTTTTTTCCTCTCTCTTCTACTGGTTGGTTCACTACGGCTTCCCTCTCTCTCTATCTTCCTCCGCCTCTTTCTCTTCCAACCCTTGAGATCCTCTTCTTCTACATCTCTATCTAGCTTCTGTACCTGGAAAAGAGAAAATGGATCAATTAGGAGAAAGAAAGGATATTCAGACACGTGATAGGTTAAATAATTGTAGCTGCTTAAACTATATCTGCAGACAATATCATTACTGAAGCCAAACCTTGAATCCTATTTAAAAGCAGGATGCAATCAATAAGAATATTTTGCTTTTTCACAAAAAAAATTCTGATGTCAAATCTACTGAAAGCAGCCAGAAAATAACATCATTCTGTTTCTATGTGCAGGCCAAAGCTGAAGTATGCTGAGGGCAAAGCATTACTAATCATGTGTTTACATGAGAGGAACATGTGAACAGCTCAGACCTTCCTGAAACTATGAAGTATTTCAGAGCTGAATCTCCAGGCGGGTGTACTTTTGAGCCTTGACCGTGGGAGGTCAAGGCTTGAGTTTGAGCATGATAATTGATATAATGAAATGGGCCATATAGTGAGTATATGGGCCATTTAACAGAAAAAGGTCAAGTTTATTGTGGGGGAAAAGGCAAAAGGTAATTTCACTCTTTCTGAATGATAATAATGTAGGGCTTCTGAAGAAAATGAGACAAACTGCCCATTCTCGACTTTGGGACACTCGATTCAGCCAACACTCTACATCAGTTCTTCTGTTACATTGTCATGTATTGTCTGCATGCTTTTATGGATACCTTACAAGTGATGAGATAAATCGGCAATATCTACATCAAAGCCTAAGAGATCTTCTTTGCTTACAGGTCTATTAAAGTGTGTCATAAGCTGTCATGTTATCAAAAACCCATTATTCAATAGGGACATTGACAAGTTTTTTTTTTTAACTGTTTCAGTAAATTTTTGTAAAATGGTACTGAAACAGAGAGAAACATCCCGACACACACTGCAACTCAGAGCTTGTACAAAGCCGCTATGACATCAGAAATAACAACAAACAGAGAGCTCAGAGGAAGACAAGAGATACAGAGAGGCATAATGGGATGTCCTCATTTCTAGGAAATTGTGTCAATTTGACATTTTGTGACAGTGTCAAGATTTTGGTGATTGACTGAGTTCACTTTTTTTCATATTGATGTCAATAAGAATTTGAGAGAACCAGGTCTTCGACATCAACAAGAGAGTAAACTATCAACAGAGGACAGGACTGAGGTCACACTCGGAATAATTGCAAGGACCATAAGGTAACACCAACATAGACACAAACTGAACACAAACGGTGATGCTACGAGCAGTGGGACAATGGAGTACCTTGCTTTGGTTACAGGCTAAAGGTGGTGGGAGAAGTGAATTTAGTCTGAAAATCAACAAAAAAGGGTTACATGAGTTAATGATGAATGAAGAGAAGAGGGAGAGCGGAGAGGTCAGAGAGATTAAAACAGAAATGAATTAGTTTATGATGGAATTGTAAGTAAATGGGAAGAAGATGTGAGCAAATGAAATGACAATGGATGGAGAAGAGTAGACTTTCTGGTTTTAAATTAATAAAAATAATTTCAAGTTTTTAGAGTTATTTGAGAATGAAAGGTCAATCTTTATTTATTTTTTAATATGTTAAGGGTAAATGTAGGGAAAAGCAAAGGCTACTTACACTCAACGTAGTTGCGGGCTACGAACTTCAGCACCTCATCAATGAGGATGACAGGGAAGGAAAGCTTCAAGACCATGAGCCACTGATCTACAGACAGATGGGTCAACTTGAAGATCATCTAGGGAGCAAAAGAGAGAGAGAGTCAGAACCAATACAGCATAAAGAAAATACAACACAAACCTCTTATCCCAAAAGGCTTCTAAATGTTGCTCTTAAAACGGGGAGCTTTGCCCACAGATGTCAAACTGCACGCAGCGCTGGCGACTTACGGGCAGGGGGTCGACATAGATGATCATGAAGTGAAGGGACATGGAGAGGGTCATGGCGGAAAGCAGCCAGAAGTTGCTCCATGGGGGCATGCGCAGCAGAGACTGGTTCTCAGACAAGCTTGGAAAAGAAAAAAAGTCCAGTTATGATAACGAAGGTCAGTGTAACCTGAAGATTTGGTGCATTGTAAGTTCCACTTTCAGTTTTACCTGTTGAGGGCGTTGCACATCTCGATGGTGACCAGCACGGACAGAGCCATGGTCATGGGAGGAGCAGCCTCAAAGATATGGCAATTAAGGCCGGCGAAGTCCTCGTTCTCATCACAGCACTGCATGAAGTGGGACTGCACGGAGAGGAGGGGAGGTTTAAAAGTGTACTTCAATCAGGTGATTGTTTAAGAGAGGCAAAAAAAAGGGGATGATAACTCACAAGCTGGTGGTAGGTGACGCCGGGGCCAGTTGGGTCGTAGATGAACCACCAGGCAGCACCACCAACAGTGGCAGCACCGACGTATGCTGTGAGAGAAATCCAACAGTAAGGAAGAGTAGACAAACGTTTTTCTTGCACAATAGCCAAATCAGAAACATAATCTCCAAAGTGCTTACTTACCGCCAATAGCCATGTATCTGAAGAACAGCCAGCCAGAGATCAGGGGCTCCTGGGCGGAACGTGGGGGCTTGCCCATGATGTCCAGATCTGGGGGGTTGAAGCCCAGAGCGGTGGCGGGCAGACCGTCAGTCACCAGGTTGACCCACAGCAGCTGGACGGGGATCAGAGCCTCGGGCAGACCCAGAGCGGCAGTCAGGAAGATACTGAGAGAGGTAAAGAAGAAATAGTTTAACAGAATGAGGGCTGAGGTCAGAGAGGAGAGGACGAGGGCGTTAATATGGCGTTCAGGTGTAAAGGGTCACTTACCAGACAACCTCACCGACGTTGGAGGAGATGAGGTAGCGGATGAACTGCTTCATGTTGTTGTAGATAGCTCTGCCCTCCTCAACAGCAGCCACAATGGAAGAGAAGTTGTCGTCAGCCAGGACCATCTCAGAGGCAGACTTGGCAACGGCAGTGCCAGAGCCCATGGCGATGCCGATCTCGGCCTTCTTCAGGGCAGGGGCATCGTTCACACCATCACCAGTCTGGAGCGGGAGCAGAGGAAAAGTTAGTTAAACACAAATCTAACACGCGGACAGGTTTTTATCGTACGCTGCTAAGTTCATACCATAGCAGTAATGTCGTTGTGACCCTGCAGGAACTCCACGATCTTGGATTTGTGGGCGGGCTCCACACGGGCGAAGCAGCAAGCCCTGCGCACAGCCTCGGACTGTTCGTGGAGGGGCAGGTCGTCAAACTCACGTCCAGTGTAGGCTCTGCCTTCAACATCCTCTTCCTCGGAGAAGATGCCAATACGACGGCAGATGGCAATAGCGGTTCCCTTGTTGTCACCTGAAATATGGAAAGGTGCGATGGGAGTCGGTGAAATGATCGATATTTGATTTTAACAAGACATGAGTGGATTGATTAAACTATTAAAGGAGTAGATACAGTTGCAGATAATGTTTTATTAAATACAACAAAAATGGTATAGTAATACGGGAAATACTGAAAGGTTAGACTAGAGCCCGATCAATTAATCGGCCAGCTGATAATATCAGCTGATGTTAGCATATCCAGTGGTATCTGCTAATTTGATCTCAGATCTGTGCCGATTTCTTCACCAGTGACATAGTATTTCATTTCAGTTTCATTGTATTAAACTAGCCGTTCTCTGTCACCAGCTAGGGGTGCCTTGTGGATTACAACAAGCATCATCACTCTCCAGAGTGTCAAGCGGTGATGCACGTACATGCACATTTACTTTCCAGTTGAGTGACCATCTTGTCTACGTTATACTGTACATGTTTTCCATAAGTGTTTGATAACTGCATTTGAGGATCAACACACTAAATGTGTATAGCTAAATCTACCTCTACAGATTGAACATAGAGCTAACAAAGATATCGCCCCCCCCCCCATATGGGTCGGCAGTGGTTAAGACCAATCTGAGTTCTAAAGTAGACCTCGAAATATGTTAAAATTATTAGAAAAATTACAATAAATTGCCAAACTATTTAAAAAAAGGATGTATTAAATATATTCTGTACTTTCAATTATTTCAATTTTAAATTACAATGGTTACAATTTTGGATGTAATTACTATGATCAGTGATGATAGTCATAACAGATGTACAATAAAGAGAGTTACAGCATATTTCTGTAATCACAAAGCACCTTGTTCATAATACTAACCAGTGATCATGATGACACGGATTCCAGCGGCTCTGCACAGCTCAATGGAGCCAGTGACCTCCTTACGAGGGGGATCCAGCATACCAACGACACCAACAAAGGTCAGGTCCATCTGAGGAGGGAGGAGTTAATGCAGTCATTCATTTGAGGTTTTTTTTTACATGTAGTAGCTGTATCATCCACATGTTTTAATATCACATCAAACAAGGTCTCGT